AAAAACAAAAAAAAAATAAAATAAAATAAAATAAAAAAAAAGACAAAAAAAAAAAAAGGAGAGGGAAGAATCAAAGCAAAGAAGTGACAAATGGAATTGGAGATTTGGCTAGAGGTTATGAGACAGAATGACTGGAAAAATTAGAAGTGCACTGAAGGAGTGAATCTAAATTAGCTGCTGTAAAAGGGGAAACTGGATTTGATAGAACTATATAAACAAGCTGGGCCTGGTGGCAAACACCCATAATCCCAGCACTCTGGAGGCTGAGACAGAGGATCACCATGAGTTTGAGGCCAGCCTGGGCTACATAATGTGTTCAAGGCATATAGCAAGACCCTATCTTAAAAGACAACAACAACAACAAAAAAGGCGTGGCAGCACATGCCTGTAATCCCAACACTCCAGAGGCTGAGGCAGGAGGATTGTTGTGAGTTTGAAACCAACCTGGGCTATAAAGTGAGCTCAAGGCCAGCCTGAATTGCATAAGGAGACCCTGTCTCATAAAAAATATAAAAAAAAAAGCTAAAACAATTCTTGTTACAGAAATAACCCAGAGATATTCAGGCCCTCTCTGCCCCAGTGGATACCTCCAGAAAAGGCAGCAGGTGGGGAGCAGGGAAAGCACAGAAAGCCTGTCTCCCTCACCAAGCATTTTGCTGAGGCTCTGGATCTTCTCTAGGGCACAGGGTACTTCAGTTTCCTCGCGTACCAGGGCCTCCACCTCACCCACTGCGTAGCCAAAGTCAGCTGTATCCAGGTCCACCCTGAGCGGTGGCTCCTCTTCATCAGTTCCAGAGAACAGCAGCTTCCAGGAGCTCCGCTTAGTCACAAAACTAGCTACTTCCTGCAGCCCCAGTGGACCCAGCACAGCTGCTACACCTCCAGTCCCCAGCCCCTCGGCTTCTAGCACCTGACAGAGACGGGCCACAATCGCAGGGTCCGACGTGAGTTCCAAGTACTTAGTGTGGGTTCCTGAGACACCCACTGCTCCGGGGCACTTTAACTCCCATCCACTACCCTCTCGTCGTCGAAGCCAGTGGTCAGACCGCATGAGGTTCAGCTCAGGGGTGTCATAGTAGGTGTCTCTGAAGATGATCTGGTGCTCCAGAGAGCCTCCCAACTCCTGCAGCCGTTCCTCTGTGCCAGGTCCTGGAACAAACTTTCGCTCCACTTCAATCAAGCCCTGGGCCATGCTACCTGCAACAAACATTTGCAACAAACATCCGCTGAGCGCCCATGGGTGCCCAGCCTGCGGGGCAACAGCTCAGCAGAGACCCGGCCCTGGATGAACTCATGTGTTACAGAGCGCTGTGCCTCAGTGATACAGGCCCTAAGTGATACAACTGTAAGCAAACTGGGTTCTCCAGAAAATTGCTAAAAGTAATGCCTTACAAAATAACCCAGAGTCCCTAGGTCACTATTTGGTTCTGCCAACAGTGACAGTTCTCCAGTTCAGTCCCTTCCACTGTTCATGATATTCTCGACCCAAAGCGCTCCCTAGAAAGCAGGCCTTGTGCCGGGGATACAGCTCAGCGGCATAAGCGCCTGCCTGGCAAGAGCAAGGTCTTGAGTTCGATTCCCGGTAACACTCCCCCCCGCCCCGCAACACACACACACAAAGAGAAGAAAGCAGGCCTTGTATCAGATGTCTGTGCAACACTGCCTCCATCCACCTTGCTTCCCCAGGAAGCCAGCAGCTCACTGCCCGGGGTGACCCGCCCCCGCCACCACAGCACCAGCCCTAGGAGCCCCGGTCTCACCTCAAAGCCCGAGGGTCTCCCTCTCGCGGGACCAGGAAATGGGGGAAGGGAGCCCACGCCGCACTCGCGAGGGATGCCGGGAGCAGGCCCTGGCCCCGGACCTCAGCCCGGCTGTGAGCGTGAGGCCGGTCCCTGTACCAGCGGCCATGTTAGGCCCGTGGTAGCGGTGCCGGGGGCAGGCTGGAGCCAGAAAGGCCTGTTAGGTTATGGGCGGCCGCGACCCTCGCGGTGGGCAAGAAAGTAAGACCATACCGTCGCGTTCCGCTTCTCACCCCCTATCCCTCCTGCAGCGCGAGGTCAGCCGGGTCTCCGGGTTCAGGCTGAGCCCAGCACCCTGGGGCCCGGTGCATGATGGGAGATGTAGTTCCAAAGGAGACTCGCTGGCTCGCCCCACCCGTCGCTATGGTGATCGGAAAGCTACAATTAGTGCCAGCGGGACTCTACCGAGAGCCGATCTGGGGTTGCCCCGCGATGGGGCGAGCTGGGTGCAAAGAACTGAGGCCCTGGTATCCAGCCTCTGGCAGCCTAGGCAGTGGGCCTGAAATACAAATCACTCACTCGAGACCATGGCCAATACATACTATGGTGGACAACTCAGTACTGTGTAGGTTGGAGATTACCTCCACTTTAACTACTCGGGAGTTTTAAAGCCGATCTAATACATCCTGGTATGAATATTTTGGTGTAAGAAACTTTCTGTCACAGGACGAAAAGATACTTTGAATGGGAAGCAAACATGTGGTAGGGTTTCAAAAGTTGTAGGCAAGAATAGTGTAAGCAAAGGCTTAAGAACAAGAACACCTGGCCAGTAGTAAGTAGAGATGAGTTTGGAAATGCAGTTGAGGCGCAGGTTGGAAAAGGTCTTGAATGAGTGTCAGACTGCCTTTGTCAGTGCTCAGCACTCCCTGAGTAGATTTTTGTCAGAAGAGTAAGACCCGCGAGGTGGAGGGGGGGGCCCGCTTTTGACTGCCTTCAGAGACCAGAGAAAGCTTCTTGTTGCCTCTGAGAACTATGACGATCTGTAGACCTTAACTTCGATCCTCTGGTGACAATATTGTCAACTCCTAACCTTGCTTCTATGATGAACGAGAAGTGCCAGGTTTTCCACACCTGCCCCCTCCTCATTGTTTCCGGAAACTCTTGACTAGTGGGAAGTAGTATGGGGAGGTCACTTTACAGTGACATCTTGAACTTTGGATTTCTTAGATGTGTCTGTCTCCCTACCCCATGCAAAGCACCACCTCACAGGAAGGGAACTGACCCCAGTCCCTAACTCTTCTCATGGACTGCATTTCATCCATCCTTTGCTTTTCAGTTTGTTGGCCAGTTTGTTGGCCAAGAAGTTTTGTGGTTTTTTGTTGTAATTGTTTGTACTGGGAATCGATGTTGGCCAAGAATAATGCCTAATGTTTTCCCTTTATGTAAGGCCCAATCCAGTGGGGGCAGGAGCAACAGCTTAATGGAACAGAAGGACTAGACTCTAGAGGCAGACATACCTGGAAAGCTTTGCTTCCCACATGCTTGGCCTTGGTTAAACTCTGCCACCTCCCTAAGGCTGCTTTGTCTTTGGTAAAACGAGGACTGCCTCACAGGTAACAAATTGTCATATAGTAGAAACTCAAAAGTGTTAGTTTCTTTCTCTTCTCCCAACTTCCCCTGTGCATTTGGTGGGGAGGCCATTAGAGAAATAGGCCTTACCAGGTACTATGGACTCCGGAGTGACACTGTCACTTATTGGCCAGGTACCTTGGTTTCTTCCACTGTAAAATGGGACTAATAGTATCTGCCTTGTGGGATTTTGAGGATTACATAATATATGTAAAAGTGCTTGAAACTACCCGTGAACACTCAATAAATCTTAAAAATTATTACTGAAATATACAGCGTTTCTGAGCTGATAAACTGAAGAGAAGGAGCCAGAGCTTCCCCTCCTCCTATAGAACTCAGGGGACTATGTGATCCCGTGGAGGAGACAGAAGCTCTCCGAGATTGCTGTGCAAGAGAAGGTTCTAGTACCCAATCGGAAGGGAGGTGGAATAAATAAGGGAAGAAGGGAGTGGGGTAAAAAAGAAAAGCAGAGCCCAGGCACCTCTGAGAAGCTGGTAGAAGACAGAGATTGTGTACTGCTTACCTAAAACAACAAAACACGTACGGTTTCTGTAGACAGGAGGACAAGAAGAGGAAACACGGAGAGTTTAAAGGGACCTGCCTTCTTTGCAGGCACCGGGTGGGGCTGCAACAGAGTCAAGGAGGCGGCGGGGTGGCCCGGCCAGCTAGTACCGCGAACCCTGGTGGCCGAGGGCGTTCCAGCGTTGTGGGGCGCTGGCGGGCGCCGCGCTAGCGGGCCGAAGGGCGGAGGCGGGAAGACTACAACTCCCGGCATGCGCCGCGACGGGCGGGCCGCTGCACCTGCTCAGTGGGGCCGCCCCGGGCGCCTGGGTATTGATTATTCCATTGTGTGGGACGCTTCGGCTCCAGCCAGTGAATGAGGCGGAGGAGTGAGGGCGAGGAGGAGGAGGAGGGCGAGGAGGAGGAGGCGGAGGAGGCAGGGCGCGAGCGAGTGCCCAGGGTGAATCAATGGAAACCCCCTCACGAAGCCGGGAAAACACTTCAGCCGCAGCCAAATAGCATTGATTATTTTCCTTCACTTCCCTCACCGCCGTGAATTTATTTATTTATTTTTTCCATCTCCGTCCCCGACGCCCCGGAGCGAGTGCTGGAGGGAGGGAGGAGGAGGGGGGAAGGAATCAACACATCGGAGAAGTCCCTTCCAAGAGCCGCCCCCTCCCCTCCCCGCCTCGCGCTGCGCGGCGGCCGCGGTTCGACTCCCGTCCCTGCTTCCAGCTGAGGTGTAAGTGCATCGATTTCCGATGCTGCTGGGTTTTTTTTTTTTTTTTTTCTCCTCTCCCTCTCACTCTTCTTCCCTTCCTTGGTCTTTGGAAGCTCGAGACCGAGGGGAGAGGAGGCGCTCGGATACTGCTGCTGGAGGGGACGGAGAGGGACGGGAAGAGGCTGGGGGAGGGGACACGGACAGACGGACAGACGGAGAGCCCGGGGAGAGGGGCCCGGGGTGTGGGGGAGAGAGGCATGCGGGCGGGGATGGGGACCAAGGGTGGCGGGGACGGAAAGGCGGGCCAGCAGACAGACGGTCGGAAGGTAGCAGAGCCTGGACGGACCGCGCCGAGCCGAGCGGGGCGCAGGGTTCCCGGAGGGAAGGGGAGGCCGGGTGAGTGTGAGGGCTCTCAGCTGTCAGCCCGGAGCGGCCCGAGCGGCGGCGGGCCGGGGGATGGGGGAGGAACGGCGGCCGGAGGACTGATGGATGGGCTGGTGCGCTGGGGTGCGGGGCGGAGGGGACATGGATACCCTCTTTCCACCTGAAGTTGAGCTGCCTTTTTTTTTTTTTTTTTTTTTTTTTTTTTTTTGCAAAGGTGTGAGTAGGTGAGAGGAAGCCCCATTGAAGGTGAAGTGTATTTATACTGCTCCCCCACACTCTGTCCGTGGCTCGGCTGCCCCTCTCTATGAGTAGTCCTATCATTTTTGAGCGCTGTACCACGCTTCTCGCCGTGCCTCTAGCCCAGCTGATCCCTGTCCATATGCCCGGGTTGGTGTTGCCATTCTTCACCTCGTTTCCTTACCCCGTCCATCTCCAGTTCTGTGAGGCACTGTCTCTGCTGTGAACCTTCCCACCCGAGTGATCTTCTCCTTGTGTGTCCCTGTCACTATGTGTCACGCCTTGGCTGCTGGCCGTCTAGGACTCCATGCCCTCTCCCTCAGGGTCGGTCCAGATATCGTTGGTCTGGTAAGGAGTTCCCTTATCAGCCATGATTATGGTAGCCACCGGTCAGGGGCTGAAGAGTCTGCCTGCAAGAATCCAGTGTCTTTTCAGCACGAACAGGCCAGCCTCCTCTTCCACCTTCACTAGGGAGGATTTGGAACTTCCTTAGCATTGTTGACTGTCCCCTTTTGCCATGTGTCTGTCGCCCATCCTCACCTTCTGCTCTGTGTCATGTGCCCTTGGGGGAGCTTTCCACCAGCCTTTTGCCTGCTGACTTAATTTTCTTCCCTCTCCTCCCTTTATCATTTTGTATTTTTTCATTTTCCCATTTCATTTCACTCCCTTTTTTTCTGTTCCTGTATCCTGTGATCTTCCTTGCTTATTCACCACCTTTGCGTAATCTGCCACCTTCCTACCTTTTCTCCTTGGTCACCCTAAGTTCCTCTTATCTCTTACTCTATCCAGTGTTTTAACCCTAGCAGTAGAAGACACCACAGACAAGCATGTGGGAGAGGTGGGGGTTACGGTTTGTGAAGGCACATAAACAGGCCAAGAAATCAATTTAATGGGCTTCCAGGGGCATATAACCCCTTCATCAATCAGTGCCATTATGTCAGTGAACTGTCAACTTTGATTCTGTAAGGGGACATTTTCTAGGACTCTAGGCTCCACCCTGCCTGGTTGCCCCCATCTTTCAGTTCATTCTAGATATCAGTGGTTGTTTTCTTCACTTTGTAGTTCATCTTCCTCCTAGGCCCCTGCTGTTATCATATTTGGATTCAGCACTATTCTTTCTGAGGCACTTTTTATTATTGTGAGAGTGGTTGGGTCTTCTTCAAGGGGCCAGGCTCATTCAGCCTAAAGAAACGTGGTAAAGGTAGATAAAGGATCTGGTGAGTTAATCTTGGTTTTGAGTCCATCGTTTTTTTTGTAGACCTCAGAGCTTGGAAGGGTAAAAGGAGAAGGTGTATATGTGCACATGATAGAAGATTTGAGAGGTGAACTGAATTACAGAAGGGAAGGGGAGGATGGGTACAGTAAACACATGGGGTAGAGAAATGGATGACATGAGGGACGAGCAAAGGAAGGGAAGAAAAATCTATGCAGAATGGGGGAAAGGGGATGAACAGAGGGGTGATTAATGAAAAATTGAGAGAATGAAATGAATACAAGTTAATAGCTATACAGAAGGAAAGAAATGACAGAATATTCCTAAAGAGGCAGTCAACAGAAAAGCAATATGAAACAAATACAGTGTGGTAAAATGGGGGAAGGGAAGACTTGACGAATGAGGTAGGAAAAGAGTATGGTACAAAGAAGGTAAATGGATAGCAAAGGCAGGAGTGCTGAAGCAGATCAGAGCCTCACAGAGCTTGGTAGGGGGAAAGAGGAGAGGATGAGGTATCAAAGGAAACAAATGCCTCTTGGTGAGGAGGACGGTGAGAAGAAGGAAGCCTGACTGATGCAAAGCGAGCACTGCAGGAGGGTAGATGATTTGAGGGAAAAAAGGCATAGCAGAAATACCACTGGGCCTCCAAAAAGAGAGATGCCCATGAGGGGAAAAGAAAGTGCAGTGATATCCAGTGAAGAGAGAGAAAGAAATCTCCCTCACATTCATTCCAGTAGTTTCATCACTTTCCTTCCAAAGTCCTTTGCATTTCATTCCCAAGCCAAGAGAACACAAGCAAAGAGATGAAAAAGTAGAATTCCCATTTACTTGTAATGATAGGAACTTGAATCTTCCTGGCCCCCTGAGAACTGAAGACCTCAAGCCTCTGATGTCATAAATTGCTGGTGTTGCCTTGGCAACGTGACAGGGTTCCTCCCTCCGTGATGTCAGAGGCAGCTGGTGTTACCTTGAGACATACAGGAACAACTTGCTGCTTCGCTGGGGAGCTGTATCACATATAGGGCTGAGGCCCAGGCCTAGTCACTTCTGTAGGATTCCTAGCCTGGTAGCTCAGCTTGCCTTCCCTGGAGCTGTTCTAGCTTAGAACAACAGTTGTCAGAACCGCTCTTGTTTGTGAGTGCCTGAGGTTTGCTAGAGCCTGGCAGGAGCAAGAGGAAGGGACCTAGGAAGAAGGAGGCATTGAAGTCGGACGGTAGGGCTGAAAGGCAGGCAAAGATGGAAGAAAACTGCAAGTGACAGTTATAAAACGGGAAAGCAGAGGGGCTTTGTGAGCAGGGAGGAGAGTTGTTGACATGTAAGATGAACCTAGGTTTGGGTTTAGGAATGGAGGCGAAAGCTGGAAATGCAGAAGGAAAAGTATCAGAGCTACCGTGGAATGTAAACTGATGCTTGGACAGAGAAAGGGGAGAGTTCTGAAATGCCAGAGGGCACAGTGGAATTTGGCTGTAGAGGAAAGGAAAAAAGGTTCCTTTGGTCTAAGAGACTAAGCCTTCTGGTGTGAGTCACAACAGTCACCTGAGCAGGGGCTGCATCTGTCTAGTTTCTTTTTACCCAAGGCCTTCACATTGAATTACATCCCTAACCTTTTTTTAAAAATGTAGGTATGTATGTATTTGGAGTTTACTAAGTTGCTGAGTCTGGGCTGGGCTGAAACTTGACATCCCTGCCTCAGCCTCCTAGAGTGCTAGGTTTATAGGCATGCACACTCATACCCAGCTAGTTTCTAATGGTTTTCCAGCACCAATGCTGTGTCTGTGACCCAGAACAGACTTAATAAATATCTACTAATGCTTATTTAGGAATGGAGAAGAGAAAGTATCAGAGGTATGGTGATACTTCTGTTGGTGATGCCAACAGAAACTGGAAAGAAGGGCTGGAAGACCTCATGATAGGTCTGAGATAGAGAAGAGAGACTTTGGGCTAGGGGCGCACTTGGGGGCAGCCTAGGGCCAACTCTCAGGGCTGATCTGGAAAGACCATATAGAGATAACGGGAAGAAAACATGAATGAACAGGCCTAGGAGCCCCAGAGGAAGCTGTGGAGGAGGACAGAGAAGAGAGGCGGTTTCCAGAAAAGGTTGAGTTGTTTCCAAAGAGAGTAGACAATTTGAATTGAAAGTAGTATCCTTACCCCATTCCTAGTCATGCAACTATAATTGAATGACACATACACACACACACACACACACACACACACACACACACACACACAGTCTCACTGCGTCACCAAATTGCCCAGGCTAGGCTTGAACCTGCAGTCCTGTTGTCTCAGCCTCTAAGAGCGCATGTGTGCCAGCACACTCAACTCTGACTGCCCATTGTTGAAAAAATCTAGAAACACCGAGAAGAGGGAAAGACAGAAGATACAGAGCTCACCACGTTCTCAGGGCAACATCTGCAGAAAGAGAAGGGTATAAATACACAAAAGCCGTAGAGGAAAAACATGTACCAAATCAAATCAGGGATTGTATCCTATCCCAGTGATGGCGGACCTTTCAGAGCTTTCAGTGATACAGCCTGCTGCCACACACGTGCTGTAGGCTCCCCAGCCCTGGCCTATCTTGTTCTGCACTAAAATGCCAAAAGACCCTGAATGAGTTGAGAAAACTAGGGAAGAAGACAGATGAGAGTGGGCTAGCTCCTCGGAGAAGAGGCCGACTGTAATAAGAAAGGCCAGTGTGCAGGGAAGAGGCCGGTGGGTGAGAGTCTGCAGGAAGGACAGTGGTGGCTGTATGCACCGTCAGTCTTTGCCACAGACTTGGGCAGCTCATATTTTGCAGCAGGCGACAGGCTGTCGACACAGCGGTCCTTTACCTCACCGTTAGAAACTCATTTCATTGATTTTTCCATCTTTCTTCTCAGGCTACTCACACTAAGCTCACATCCCACCACCCACTTTCCCAGAGCCCCTTGTCCTGTATTGGAAGCCCCAAGGAACCGCCTGCCTGTCTCTCCTCAGCCCAGCCTGGTGCGGCAGGGGGTAAAAGTTCGAGGTGACCTCCAGCGTAGTAAAGTCCTGTGCTTCTGTGGCCATGTTATTCCAGTGGTATGGGAACTGCATGTGCCTGGAAGAAGACATCTTTTTCTAATTCCCACCCAGACAGCTGAGCCACTGGAATGGTGTAGGCATAGGGATTTCTGTAATTGGGAGGACATAATTGGCCCAA